ATACATACACACACACATATATATATATATACATACATATATATATATATATATATGTATATACATACATATATATATACATATATATTATATATAGCCACCTGAGAAATTTGCAAAAAATGAAATTAAAAAAAAAAAAATCCAAAGGGTGTTACGGGGCACTTTTTGTAAAGCTTTTTTTTATTTAAAACCAAAATGTCTCAAAAATGTTTAATATGTTTTAACGAAAATATTGTGCTTTTCAGAAAGAAAAAAAATTTTTTTTTGAAGAAACTTAACTGCTTGCTTAAAATAAAACTTGTTTGAAAATCATAATTACACTTTAAAATTTTGTGCCACTTATCAAAATTCGTCTTCTTTATTTTTGAGAATGGATATTTTTTTTAACAAAACTCTACTATTGCATTCGCAGTCATTTCACAGATAGCTGAAGTCCTGTTTTCGTAACCCAACTTCAATTTTCTAACCGGTAAACAGTATAAAAAAACTGTTGATACAGTGTACTGAAAAAATTTAATTTTTTCTACTTCTTTTCACGATAATTTTTACGTGACCTCTTAGACGTGACCTTTAGACCTCTATGTCGGAGAAATTACTGTTGTGTACCAATATTAAAATTTTAAAAAAGTTAAAATAATGTTATTTAAACTCTATAATTAATATGTTTTTAAAATTATTTATATTTAGTTCAATTTTTTTACCTCGAGTTCGTATTATCATTAAATTTTTTCATAATTAAGTTTGATGTGCAGAGCACAAAAAACGGAACATCGTGAATTACTTTTTATCTTAAGATCGGATCTTCACATACTAGGACTCAATCTTAATGGTTCCAACGGTTCTTGTTCCTTAAATATGCTTAACTAATCAGTGCAGGCAATATTTTAAGTTACGAAATCAGACACAAATACTCACTTCCTCTGAATAAACATACCTTTATTTCAAAGGATTTGGATTTTTTACACTCAAAATATCGGGGTAGTCGTGGTCTGGGAAATATGGTCTATAATTTTTTAGGGTCATGAATCCAAACAAGTAAAAAAAAAAAAGATATTTTAGCTTAAAGAAAGTATGATTTTGAGTCTGGTTTCGTAACTTAAAATGTCTGTTCTTATTATGCATATAATTTGAGGTTTGGTCCTCAAACAATTAAGATTTAGTTTTGGTATGCAAAAATTCGCTCATTAGATCAAAAGTTATTCAATATGTTCCATTTTTTTTCTTCATCAAATCCGTCTATTTTTAATTATTCATAGTATTTTCTTCTAACAGATACTACCAGTAAGATGTGCATTCTGTTCCTGATCGTGGTTCTCGCCAATGACGTCATTGCATACGATTCTACATCTCTAGAAGATTATTCTTCTGAGTCTGATGAGCCAAGAAGGATCAACGATCATGATAATGGCCTTCGATATTACCAACGCTACAGGAATATGGATGAAGCCACTGTCAAACGGGCACTGACACTCCTGGCTCGCTTGAAACCTCCATACGTAGGAATGTCCGGAATCAATACTCGATCTGATATAGTCACACGAGGGGGATTTGCAAGGCCTCTTGGGCAACCTCTGAGATGGGGTTAAACTGTTTTACTAATTTTCAAGCTCCTTGCCAAATGTTTCGCTTCATCAGATCTTATTCTACCGAATCGTTAAAAGGATTGTTGCAAAAAAAAAAAAAAAAATACTGGTGATAAAAGTGTAATGACTGAAAAAGCTGTCAATGACTTGTTCTATTATAAGAGTAATAATATGATGTCACTTTATGCAAAAATGTTTTTTTTTTCTCTTGTTCTATTATAAGAGTAATAATATGATGTCACTTTATGCAAAAATGTTTTTTTTTCTCTTGTTCTATTATAAGAGTACTAATATGATGTCACTTTATGTAAAAAAGATTTTTTTCTCTTATAAACATAGGGTCATAACAAAGCAAGTCAATGCAAAAGCTGTTATTAACGATATGAATGACTTATTCTATTTTAAATAGTAATAGTAGTTTCTAATAGTAGTTTTAAAGTAGCAATTATTCTAATAAATGGAAAATGTGCGTTTTAAAGTTCACCAATGACGTAGTTGATTCAAAACATGGAGTAGAAATAATACTATTTAACGCACAAGATTAAGAACTGTTATAAAATTAGATTTAAAATAAAATCTGAAAAACTGAGAAGCGTGCAGTTTTGAATTATTTACTTAAAACCATAAATCACATTATTTTATCGTTTTAAAGTTTTGTGGAAAAATTCAAAGTTCTACAAATTATCAAGTGCTGTTTCTCTTAATCTAATTGAGCGACCTTTTTGTTTTATACCATTTTTGAGATTGTGCTATCTTATAAGTACTATCGCATCATAAGTTTGATAAGTACCAAAAAATATCAAGAAAACACAAATTAATAATTTATCCCTAAATTCCAAGATGGCGATGGATTGAGGCCTCTTAAAGACGATAACAATGGCTAATGTCTCTAAATGCGAAGTAGTAAGAATACTACTTAAAGCAAACGTCATGTCCTCAGTTTATGTATCGAAATATAGAATTGATGCATAAAAATATGTTGTGAAATTTAATTACATAATTATTTGTTTCGTTTATAAATGGCTAAAGTTCATGTAATTAACATTACCTAAAATAATATTCCAATAAAATAATATTCTTATAAAAAAATTAAGTAAAGCATTAAATAAAAACGAAGGTTTGACGATTAATTTACTATTGCTTAAATATATATATATATAT